GGAATTAGAACTGCCTTCAGCGGGTCTAGTTCCTAACTCAGCAGTGCGGACTCATGGCTTCACCGACGAGTCAGAAGATGAGGATGACCCTCTGTCATCGCTCATCAGTAGTCAGGTGCAGTCTCGCCACCCTATGGTGACGAGATCTCGCGCTGTACAGTAAAGTAACTTCCTTAGTTAGTATAATTTAGTATTGATTAGATTTTCCTGTAAAGGCAATGAGATGTACTATGTCTATACTTAACTCAGGTAGCAACTTTTACCGTGCTCTGGGGTTCCACCTCCACCAAACCCAGAGTATATCTATGCTTCCGCTGTGTTGTGTCTGTCTGTTCCCAGGTCTGATTGGTACACCGACCCAGTTGTTCCAGCCACACGTGAACCCTTGTCTGTAAAGACCGAGGGGGGAGGCACGTTACACAAAGCCCTCCCCCCACTAGACCCAGTAACCCATACATCAGTTACTTTGGGGATGAGTGACTGTCCAAGAGTCACCCGGCCGACGCCTCACGTCACTAACGAGGTTGTCAGGGCCAGCGAGCTGTCCACATTATAGCAGTCACCGGAGGTGCCATACAACGCCGGGGTAGCTGTCTCGAGATCACCAATACCCACCTGCTGCGTCATCAAGACTGCAGCCATTCCAGCAGTGTTGGAGGAGAGGTCAAGAAATGGAAAGCACGTAGCAGTACTCAAGAATTTCGCCGGAAGATTAATGATTACGTCATCTGAAGTAACAAGAAAGCAGAAGTAAGGCGGTCACAGGTGGAAGGCACGGTTTCCCTACAGAGTACCGGGACTCGCCAATAGAAGGTCGCAAAATTGTCTCCTTTGGCCTAAAGTCGGCGGTACGAGGGTATACACAGTTGGTGTTTACGGCCTAGTAACCTGGTGACATCAAGAAACGCCTGAGATGACGTGAGCAATGATGGAAGACGAGATTCACCTGTTCTGCAAACAAGCAACCCGCCTCTACGACCTTCTGACACCACTCCTGTTAAGAGACACCGTTGGTACATCCAGTCCTGCTCTGCTGTGGTCATCTGCGACAAGTTTAACATCAAGACTACCGTGTGAACTGTGATTGATACGAAGGCGTGTGGACTGTCGAGAGCAAGATTAATGGCCGAAGTAACAGTATTCTACAGCTGTCACTTGGCACTCCGCTCTACTACACTCTGTCGTCATTCAAGAGTACCGGATGGGAGTACAAGAGGACCAGGTATTGATGTCTACACATGAGAAGAAGCAAGATCGACACCGTCATCGTCAGCGACTACATTCAGCATCCAGCAGCATCGATTTTTTTTCGATTACTCAATATGAACAATTGATACAAACAACAAAGTTGGCTCTGAACATCTGTGTAAAGAACATCTGGACACTTTTGTTTAAATGTTGAAAAACAGATTTAGAATCAATACTTTTTAAATGTTGAAAAACAGATTTAAAATAATTCTGGTATAATATATGAATTTTACTCTATAAATTGGTCAGTAATCAAAATCGAAGCCCCTGTGTAATTGTCTCAGCCCAGAACAAACGGTTATGGAAAATTATGTTGTGCTATTTTTTTCAGAATGTTTGAACACAGGAGAGGCGGACCAATATAAACATTGACACTTCTAGTGAGTGAGAACACTTGGCTGTACAGTCAGCTGAAACCTGTGATATAGTATAGGAATTTTTATTTTTAGATACATGTAATAAACGTTAGGTGTGTTCCTTGATGGGGAGTGGTTAGTACACGGATGTGAACTTGATAGTTCCGTAGTACGCTCCCGGATGACTGAAAGTTCAGTCTGAACTTATAACTTTAATGTTTGTTTGAGCACGGTGTGGCCGGCTCTAGAGACACATGAACTTGGCTAGTGAAGAGCCAAGAGAGTTTAATAGCTAGTTTTTTATGGTAGAGTAGGGACATGTTATTTAGCTATGTCAGTAAGGATAGGATGTATGTTTCCTGATATTAGAGGATTGCTGTCAGTTGACAGCTGAGAAATTTATGAAATATGAACATGTTCATTATGATGTTGGACTATTATTTGTCAAATTTTATTAGTTAGGTTAGCTTTTGTTTGTGGCATGAGTTGAATTGTGGGTTTGGATACTAAACCTCGTGAATTTTAACAAATTAACAAGGTTTACTAAGTGCTTGTGCGGGGGGGTTGTAACAAACTAGGCTGTTGTAAGAATTATCCAGAGTGGTTTATCGACAAAAGAGAATGGGAAGCTGAGCCGCATGGTGACCTGACCCCCAGGGGAATTCGCGGTGGAAATAACCGACGCTTTGTTCATATCTGCGTAAATGAATCATCCTATAGTATTCAGTAATTTAGAGAAAATTAGCCTTTATTCATTTTGCATTAAAATTGTATTGTATAATAGTACTGGATACAATATCAAGAGTATTCTAATTATTGAGTTTAAGTCACCATCAGTGACGTCACGAATCGGATCTAACTTTTAAGGCGGAGTGACCGGCGGTCATAGGTCATCAGGGGTTGACAGGTCTACTATTTCTACAAGTTTTAATAACCATTTTTGTGATCGGGAACAGCTCTGCCGTTAGATGTTTGTAATTTAATTCAGTAAAATAATTCAACCAGTCTGGATCAATTCAGTATAAACAGAGGATAATTGTTATAACTTAACCTTGCTAAAGTAACTGGGTAAGCGATGCGGAACAATACAATACTCTGTCTGGGGTAGTCCAGACAAGGAAAAAATCAGTGTGGTCACGGAAGCAGCTGGGATAAGAGGTCAACATCTTACCTCTCCCCAACAAGACCAGCACAACACCCAGAGCTGTGGTCGCCCAAGGTATAGTTGCTATTGTAAATTATAGGGATAGTCTTCTCATTTGCCATTCAGGTCAAGTAGGGAGTGTTAAAGTGATAGGGAGTGAACACATTTAGATTTTGTTTTAGTTTTCTTTTAATAAATTAAATTTGTTATTAATTTGCATTTTATTGTTTCCATGTGTTTTATGTGTATACTTGTCCTGGTCACGTGGTCCACACGAGGCAGAGTTGCATTGGGCGCCGATTCTAACATCGAATCGGAATTATCATTACCGTGTAATTTATTCCACACTCAAGGTCATCGTTTATAGTGGGGATCAAGCCCCTAGGTTGATTAATTAGCGTGATCGATCCAGACCTCGATCATTGCTCTTGTATTACTGGTCTGGTGGTGGCAGCAGAGGTGACTCTAGGGTTTTGTTCAGAGCTTAGGTCACGTCATACTGGGTGTAGAATCCTAAGTCGGTCAATCGTCTTAGGACCACGTGGCGTGGAGTTGGCTTTGGTAAAAGTTTTGGAGTCCCTTGGTTTAGAAATAAAAGTAAGAATACGGGTAGAGGGAGTAGAAAGAAGGAAGTAAAGAGAGAGGAACCCTAACCCGTGTTACAACGTTGGCGTAAAGGTAGTCAGCAAAATTAATGTGCCGGGCAAATAGTATACTTGTAGTGTATGTGGAGTATACCTGGAGTGTATGTCGAGTATATCTGGAGTTAGTTCTGGAAGTTCATCTACTGCCGAAGCCCGGCCAGGGGCCAGGATTGACCACTGAGAACATGAGGACAATGAGCTGGGATATGAGGACGAGGAGCTGGGATATGAGGACAATGAGCTGGGATATGAGGACAAGGAGCTGGGATATGAGGACAATGAGCTGGGATATGAGGACAATGAGCTGGGATATGAGGACAAGGAGCTGGGATATGAGGACAAGGAACTGGGATATGAGGACAATGAGCTGGGATACGGGGACTAGGGGCTGGAACAGTTCAAGGAGCTGGGACACGAGGACGTGTACACATTACAGCCTTGTTAATCAGGTACCATTTGGAGGAGTTTATCAAGTTCCTTCAATTCGCCTTCCTTTTATAGCAAGTATCCCTCATATCCCAGTTGCTATCCTGCCATCAAGAGCCCTTCAAAGTGCAATACCGGCTTCCTTGGGGGTGGCTCCGAGGATCAACATCCCCGTGGCCCAGTCTCTGACCAGATCATCTGGTTGGTCAACCAAACTATTAGTGGAGAGCTTACCGCTGTCTCCTCATAATATCCATTTCTGACGGACCAATAGCATCACACGGCCACGGTAGTTTGACTTTCGCATTCCGCACAGTTCTTTTTTTTTAGGACAATTCGACCATTACTCAAGCTGATCACCGGTTGGCCAGCGGCCGTGGGTGTTGACCTTGACTGTGGGAACCACTGGGGGTTTCACAGGTGTAGTGGAGGGGTTGTAGGACCCCGGGTCCCTGCTACACTACACTACACAATCGACTTGAGAATGGTCCAGGACGGACCGAAACGTCGTCGTCCCTTCACCTTCTAGTGTGTGGTCTGCTCAAAATACACTACACTACACTAATAGTGAAGAGAATATGGCTCTCAAAGACGACAACAACATTATTCAAGCCTAATAGAACTAAATCTATGTAAACACGTAGATTTAGTAAGCACTCGTGAGCCATATATATACATTCTCAGGTGTAAGTTAACAGCGATCTCTCAAGAGCCCTGAGCACCGGATCTAAGAACTGTAAGGTCATATTACTGCCACAACACTAACCTATCTTCAAGCCGAATTACCGGCGTGTGATGGCCAGGTTGCTCCCACCATGCCGGGAACCCGGGACCCAGCGGGCGTGACCGGAGTATATATAACATGAACAGGAAGGCGCTTTGTGGGTAGACATTTGCCAGGATTGAAGTACACAGGACGGTACTGGAGGAAGGGGGAGGAATGGTATTGATGGGAAGGGGAGTGGGGTTAATGGATATACATGGAATGGGGGGGGTGATGGGTATACATAGAGGATATCAGGGGAGGGGGGAGGGGTATACAAGGAGGGGGAGGGGGGGTAGGGAGGCCCATGAAAATAGTCTACAGTAGCCAATTGATAGGAGTTCTCAGGCCTAACATAACCCCAAGACTCATGCTTTATAATTCAGCAGTGTTTGTGAAGGAAGACAACGTAGCCCACTATGACACGTGAAGCGGTAAGGGAAACTTGACGCGGATTGGTTGACCAATCTCCCTCTTACACTACCCTAGTCCCATCACTTTTGTAATACTATCCTCGTGTCCTTCCCCTCTCTCTCTCTCTCTCTCTCTCTCCAGAAGGGAGGTTATCTTGAGGTTATCTTGAGATGATTTCGGGGCTTAGTGTCCCGCGGCCCGGTCCTCGACCAGGCCTCTACCCTCCAGGAAGCAGCCCGTGACAGCTGACTAACACCTAGGTACCTATTTTACTACTAGGTAACAGGGGCATAGGCTGAAAGAAACTGCCCATTGTTTCCCGCCGGCGCCTGGGATCGAACCGGGGACCACAGGATCACAAACCCAGCGTGCTGTCCGCTCGGCCGACCGGCTCCCTATATCACCATAACCCCGGTATACGGACAGAACAAGCCCTCACATCACCAAAGTGAATCCGCTTAATCCAACGACCGCTTATATACACTGCGGATGAGAGGGGAATTATTAAAAATAACATTCCACATTCCTCTGCCCCTCATCTCCTTTACTTCACCCATCAAACATCACAACCTAACAGATCAAAGGCCAAAGGTAATTTACGAGTTATTAATAAAAACTACCAGAGGTCGATCACCAAGTCATTAGTACGGAATGTGTTCTAAATATTTACTCCCGAACATGACTGATAAGTTGTTCGGTAGTTTTTTGGTGTTCGAATTTAATATCGGTGTTCGGAAATGCTTTAGGAGGGGAGGGAGGGGAGGGGGGGTTGAGGGTTCTTGATCCAGTGGGGAACCTTCACTTGTAGTCATCTTTTTTGGAACCTATATTTGGACCAGCGGTTCTATGTCTCCTCCAGTGGTTCAGGTTCCATCTTGGTATAGGCTACGAGCCTGAACCACTGGTGGAGCCTGAACCACTGGTGGAGCCTGAACCACTGGTGGAGCCTGAACCGCTGGTGGAGCCTGAACCACTGGTGGAGCCTGAACCACTGGTGGAGCCTGAACCACTGGTGGAACCTGAACCACTGGTGGAGCCTGAACCACTGGAGGAGCCTGAACCACTGGTGGAACCTGAACCACTGGTGGAACCTGAACCACTGGTGGAACCTGAACCACTGGTGGAGCCTGAACCACTGGTGGAACCTGAACCACTGGTGGAGCCTGAACCACTGGTGGAACGTGAACCGCTGGTGGAGCCTGAACCACTGGTGGAGCCTGAACCACTGGTGGAGCCTGAACCACTGGTGGAGCCTGAACCACTGGTGGAGCCTGAACCACTGGTGGAGCCTGAACCACTGGTGGAGCCTGAACCACTGGTGGAGCCTGAACCACTGGTGGAGCCTGAACCACTGGTGGAGCCTGAACCACTGGTGGAACGTGAACCGCTGGTGGAACCTGAACCGCTGGTGGAGCCTGAACCACTGGTGGAGCCTGAACCACTGGTGGAGCCTGAACCACTGGTGGAGCCTGAACCACTGGTGGAGCCTGAACCACTGGTGGAACCTGAACCACTGGTGGAGCCTGAACCTCTCCCTCTGCCCCCTCACCGCAACACACCAGCGGTTCTGGTGGAAACTGAACCGCTAGATCATTCTGAAAACAAATAATGCCAACCCTCAAAGCACCCTGCAACCTTGAACCGGTTTGGAGCGCCCATTTACTGTGAATATTCCATTAAAACCGGTTAATGACACCAATTAGAGCCTGGGACATATTACCCCATTAAACAACGGTAGCCACTCTTTATCCTCCCATTAACTGAATAATTTTCTTAAAAAAATCGTAAATCAAAATTCACACAAAAAAAATACAGATAAAATTTTTTTGGTTGTGTATAGTTTCGTATAAAAAAATCAGATTATGAGGATTTATTTTTGTTTTCCCAAACATTGTGTGTGTCTGAGGCGTCCAGGAACGCGGGTTCGAGTCTACTGCATGGCTTCAATGTTATATTTTAACAGAGTTCTTTCGAATGACATGAAGGCGATTGTCCAGAAATAATGGAATTCAAGGACCACATTCACACAATATTTCCCCGAAAATTGACTGGTTGTGGTGGTTGATGGTGGTAGAGGTGGTGGTGGTGGTGGTGAGGAAGTGATGGTGGTAGAGGTGGTGGTGGTGGTGGTTGTGGTGAGGAAGTGATGGTGGTAGAGGTGGTGGTGGTGGTGGTGGTGGTTGTGGTGAGGAAGTGATGGTGGTAGAGGTGGTGGTGGTTGTGGTGAGGAAGTGATGGTGGTAGAGGTGGTGGTGGTGGTGGTGGTGGTTGTGGTGAGGAAGTGATGGTGGTAGAGGTGGTGGTGGTGGTGGTGGTGGTTGTGGTGAGGAAGTGATGGTGGTAGAGGTGGTGGTGGTGGTTGTGGTGCGGAAGTGATGGTGGTAGAGGTGGTGGTGGTGGTGGTTGTACTCACCTAGTTGTGTTTGCGGGGGTTGAGCTCTGGCTCTTTGGTCCCGCCTCTCAACCGTCAATCAAGTGTGGTGAGGAAGTGATGGTGGATGATTCATCCGTGGTAATTGGTTGATTTTTATCGTTTTAATAATTGCCGATGGTGGATTGTTTTGATATGATTGTCACAGTTCTCTGGCGAGGTAGTGATAGTGATGATTGATGGTTGGGGGAGGGGGATTGCTATTGAAATTGCGTCCCTAGTTCAGTGGGTAATATGTGTCTCTGGAGAGACCCAGAACGCGAGTTCAATCCCACCGCACTGCCCCAAAAGACTTACACAAAAAAGCACACACACACACACACACACACACACACACACACACATATATAACCGCACATATAAAAAAACGACTATTTACCCCCTCCTTGCATATTTAGTGATTACACACTCAGAGAACCACTCAGACATCTGCCCCTCTCCACAACACACACAGGGAGGCATGACATTCAGAACACACTCAGACAGGCCTGCCCCTCCCCACAACACTCAGACAGGCCTGCCTCTCCCCACAACACTCAGACAGGCCTGCCCCTCCCCACAACACTCAGACAAGTCTGCCCATCAGAACAACAAATGGGCACAAGTCACGTAACATGCCGATCAGTGGCGTGGCCGCTACCAGCTGATGCAATTTGGGTAATGGGCAATAAAGGGGGGGGGGACCCATGTGGGTTTTGGGGTTGGTAGTGTGTAGGAATGGGGGTCAGGTGATGAGGGCCAGATAATGGGGAAAATGGGTAAGATAATTGTCGAAGGGGAGACGTATGCCTTTGTTTTATTTCACTTTCAATAATTCTCTTTTTCTTCCCCCTCCCTTACCTCACTTTCCCTCACCTTCCCCTCACTGTCTCTCACCTTCACGTCACTGTCTCTCACCTTCCCCTCACTTTCTCTCACCTTCCCTTCACTGTCTCTCACCTTCCCTCACTGTCTCTCACCTTCCCTCACTGCTAATCTTGAAATTACCTTCAGATAGTTCCGAGGATCAATGCCCCCGCTGCCCAGTCTCTCACCAGGTGATCTGATCTACCAGACTGTTAGACGCCGCTCCGTGCACCTTCCCAGAGGTAAACACCACACAGCGACACACAGTCAGGTTATCTTGAGGTTATCTTGAGGTTATCTTGAGATGATTTCGGGGCATTTAGTGTCCCCGCGGCCCGGTCCTCGACCAGGCCTCCACCTCCCAGGAAGCAGCCCGTGACAGCTGACTAACACCCAGGTACCTATTTTACTGCTAGGTAACAGGGGCATAGGGTGAAAGAAACTCTGCCCATTGTTTCTCGCCAGGGATCGAACCCAGGACCACAGGATCACAAGTCCAGCGTGCTGTCCGCTCGGCCGACCGGCTCTCACGACACAAACGACCTCACACAACCCAAGCAATCACCACTGCATCAGCTGGACCACAGCAGCCAATCAGAGCACAATAAAACAAGGCTTAAACTCTTACCAACTTGTTATTGACATTCAGGTCGGGTTTTAGCTCTCTGACCCCAGCTTTATTAATGACTAGTACGACGTATTTCTGACGTATTGGACCGATTCCAATACGATTGACAATCAGGTCGGGTTTTAGCTCTCTGACCCCAGCTTCATTAATGACTAGTACGACGTATTTCTGACGTATTGGACCGATTCCAATACGATTGACAATCAGGTCGGGTTTTAGCTCTCTGACCCCAGCTTCATTAATGACTAGTACAACGTATTTCTGACGTATTGGACCGATTCCGTATAAGACAGGAAGGTATTAGATGGGGAAACTGCGTGTCCAGGATCGTTCGCTTTCTTAGATTAAGTGGTGGAGGGGGAGTATTAATGGAGCCACTCAAGGGGAAGAGTTATGTCTAGTGTCTGTAAGTTTATGGTGTGGGTTTAGACGCCAGGCTGCCCTTAACAGTTTGTTTGGTCTATGGCCACCATGAACATGGTGCGCTTAGGCGTAATGTTGGAGATATTTATCTCAATTTGTACGTACACTTGAGCACAAAGTACACACACACACACACACACACACACACACACACACACACACACACACACACACACACACACATGGAATGCATTAGGCAGTGATGTGGTGGAGGCTGACTCCATACACAGTTTCAAGTGTAGATATGATAGAGCCCAGTAGGCTCAGGAACCTGTACACCTGTTGATTGACGGTTGAGAGGCGGGACCAAAGAGCCAGAGCTCAACCCCCGCAAGCACAACTAGGTGAGTACAACTAGGTGAGTCTAGATGAGTACACACACACACACACACACACACACACACACAGGAAGCAGCCCGTAGCAGCTGTCTAACTCCCAGGTACCTATTAACTGCCAGGTAACAGGGGCATCAGTGAACGAAACTCTGCTCATCTGTTTCTGCCGGCGGCCAGGATCGAACCCGACCCAGAGATTACGAGTCCCAAGCGCTGTCTATTCAGCCACGGCCCCTGTGTGTGTGTGTGTGTGTGTGTGTGTGTGTGTGTGTGTGTGTGTGTGTGTGTGTGTGTGTGTGTGTGTGTGTGTGTGTGTGTGTGTGTGTGTGTAGTGAGAGGTAATGTTGACTTTCATGACTTCGAACTGCTGTAAAGTCCCCCCCCCTCCCCCCCCCACACACACACTAATTTCATTGTATTCGGGGTTCAGCTCCAGCTCCTGGACCCGAGTGTGTATACATAACAGAGGACATCCAACCCATCCTTTTCCGTACATCCAACCCATCTACTTGAACTTCTTGCAAGTCCTCGCTCGATCCCCAATGGCCCAAATGCTTGGGCAGAGCTTCCTGATGGATCAGTAACAATCCGTCAGCCCGCAGCCCAGTAATACCATCTCTACAACTTTCTGTAGACAAATGTATGTAAGGAATTGTTACTGTGGGCAGCTGAGGACGGAGAGGGGGTGTGTGGCGTGACAGTTGGCACCACTGGTGCTGTGTTTACGTGGCCCAGGGGAGCCACTACTCCCGATGCTTTTACTGTCCGCTCACCCTAACTGATTTCTTACTAGTTTAGGAAATTCCCAGAGGAACCTAAACGACAGTTTGCGAGGGAAGGTTTTTCTGGTTTGTGTATGGGGCTGCTTCACCAGCTGTCTCTTGGCTTACTGCTTCACCAGCTGTCTCTTGGCTTACTGCTTCACCAGCTGTCTCCTGGCTTACTGCTTCACCAGCTGTCTCCTGGCTTACTGCTTCACCAGCTGTCTCTTGGCTTACTGCTTCACCAGCTGTCTCCTGGCTTACTGCTTCACCAGCTGTCTCCTGGCTTACTGCTTCACCAGCTGTTTCCTGGCTTACTGCTTCACCAGCTGTCTCCTGGCTTACTGCTTCACCAGCTGTCTCTTGGCTTACTGCTTCACCAGCTGTTTCCTGGCTTACTGCTTCACCAGCTGTCTCCTGGCTTACTGCTTCACCAGCTGTATCCTGGCTTACTGCTTCATCAGCTGTTTCCTGGCTTACTGCTTCACCAGCTGTCTCCTGGCTTACTGCTTCACCAGCTGTCTCCTGGCTTACTGCTTCACCAGCTGTCTCCTGGCTTACTGCTTCACCAGCTGTCTCCTGGCTTACTGCTTCACCAGCTGTTTCCTGGCTTACTGCTTCACCAGCTGTTTCCTGGCTTACTGCTTCACCAGCTGTCTCCTGGCTTACTGCTCCACCAGCTGTCTCCTGGCTTACTGCTTCACCAGCTGTCTCCTGGCTTACTGCTTCACCAGCTGTCTCCTGGCTTACTGCTCCACCAGCTGTCTCCTGGCTTACTGCTCCACCAGCTGTTTCTTGGCTTGCTGCTTCACCAGCTGTCTCCTGGCTTACTGCTCCACCAGCTGTCTCTTGGCTTACTGCTTCACCAGCTGTCTCCTGGCTTACTGCTCCACCAGCTGTCTCCTGGCTTACTGCTTCACCAGCTGTCTCTTGGCTTACTGCTTCACCAGCTGTCTCCTGGCTTACTGCTTCACCAGCTGTCTCCTGGCTTACTGCTCCACCAGCTGTCTCCTGGCTTACTGCTTCACCAGCTGTCTCCTGGCTTACTGCTTCACCAGCTGTCTCCTCCCTTATCGCGCAAATATCGCTCCTCCCTTATCGCGCAAATTCGTAATGTCAATATTGACTTATTAACTACGTGCATAGGTGATATACTAAACATAATAGATACCCTTAAAAAGATT